AGGACCCGAGCGACGATCGATACCCGGGTCTATTCTACTTCGTGTCGACGCAAGTACCGGCTGGTCTAGAGAAGGATGAAGGCTTTGAGGAGCCAGCAGCTGTGGGGAAGGTGACCCTACACCCCCTGGACTATTGGGTGATCGATAGTGGCGCTACCTATAGCATGACACCTCGCCCGGACTTGCTCACCGAACTCGAGCCGTCACCGGTGAAGCATGTCACATCGGCTTTGGGGCAGCGAGCAGAGGTGAAAGGCATGGGCAAGGCCATGTTCAAGGGTGCTGATGGGAAGATGGTGGGCCTCAAGAACGTGCTTTGGGTGCCCAGCCTTGCTGCAAACCTGTTTTCTGTGCGGCGGTTGGCAAAGGCCGGCATGGACACTAACTCGAAGAGAGCCAAGACCTACACCGCAAGGCTTGGCGATCGGGTTCTATGGGACCTTCATGAGGACAGGGATGTCTACAACGAGATGTGGCAGATCCCAGTGGTTCCTATGCCTAAGGAGAGGCAAGTGGCAGCAAGCGCCAGCACCAAAGGTGAAGCGGTTGGTAACGGCGATTGCGCGGACGGTCGCGCTAAGGAGAAGGAGTCCAAGAAGTGGAATCTTGGAGGGACCAGCAAGCTCGGTGATCATAACAAGTGTGGTGCAACAGCCAAGGAGGAGCACAAGGGTGAGGAGAACCCCGAGGCAGCAGCGGAGGAGGAGTACGGAGAGAGCATGTGGGGCGCTATTGCGAGCGCGGCATTCTCCAATCCGACTTCGGCTGCGGGGGAGTGTGATTGGCTTACCTTGCATCGGCGAATGGGGCATGTGGCCCTGCCTATCTTGCAGCAGCTAGTGAAGAATGAGATGGTTGCTGGCATACGTGTGAAGGGGGAGCCCGATGAGGTGCTTGGCTGCCCGGCGTGCATTCAAGCCAAGTTCACCCGGTTTCCGTTCCCTAGTTCGGAGGCAACGGCAAAGGCACCGCTTGATGAGGTGGTGATGGAAGTGGTGGGCCCCCTGAAGCTTGGGACCTGCTGGAGCTGAGTATTTTCTCACCATTGTCGACGTCTACACCCGCATGACTTGGGTGTATGTGCTGGCCAAGAAGAGCGACGTGGCTGAAACGTTGAAGACGGATTGGTTCCCGATGGTGGAGCGGCAACAAGACCGTCTAGTCAAGTCAATCCGCACCGATCGAGGGGGAGAGTTCCTGAGCAAGGATTCTGGGTTGTGGCTGAAGAAGAATGGTATTCGGCACTCCCTCACCATGCCATACTCCCCTGCAATGAACGGCATCGCTGAGCGAGCGAACCGCACAATCACGGAGGCGGCACGCGGGTTGCTCATTGAAGCCGGGCTACCCGACTATTTCTGGCCTGATGCGATGCGGAGCGTGTGTGTGGCCAAGAACAGAGCCTTGACTCATGTGGGAGCAGACAAATGGGTGCCCTATGTGGAGTGGCTAGGAAGGAAGCCAAAGGTGGATATGCTTCGGGTGTTCGGGTGCATGTGCATGGCGCTCGTGCCTAAGCATCTTCGGCACAACAAGCTTGGTGCCAAGGCGGTGTGGGCCGTGCACTTGGGCATGGCTCAAAACAGCAAGGGATGGCTTCTTTGGGACCCATTCACCAAGAAGTTCTTGGTGAGCAGGGACTGCAATTTCATGGAGAACTTCATGTACAAGGATTGGAAGGCGGAGAATGAGGCGAAGATAGGCGTGCGGTTTGGGGAGGTGAAGAGTTCCGGTTTGGAGCATGTGGAGCTGCCTTTGAAGCTGAGCAGTGGCAGCACTACCACAAGGCAATCTTCCCTTGTGAATGGGGGAGAGGAGGCCAATGGTGCAGAGGAAGAAAAGGAGGAGGTGCAGCAAGTGAGCGAGCGTGCACCGTCACTCCCTTCCCGCACTACGAGTGCTCCACGGATTCGAGCCACACCGCAGCAATGCCAAGGCCCTCAAGCCCCTGCAGCTGAGGAGGAAGGAAGGGGGAAGAGGAGATTTCAACCCCCTAATAGGCTGACCTATGATGCACTTGGAAAGCAAGGCAAGACAGCCCTGGCCGGAGCGGCAATGATGGTCGGAGACGACGAGGAGAGTGACTATGAGGAGTGTGCCTTCGCGTTCTTCTTTCCGGTGGAGATGTCGGGAGAACCAGCAACTCTCAAGGAGGCTTTGGAGAGTAGTGATGCTGAGGAGTAGAAGAAGGCCATGGAGAGTGAGCTGAAGAGCATCGAGGAGAATGACACGTTTGAATTGGTGGAGCTATCGGAGGGGCGTACGGCGATAACGTCCAAGTGGCTCTTCAAAATCAAGTCGGATGCCGACGGCAAGATCGAGCGCTACAAGTCTAGGCTTGTAGCCAAGGGGTACCAGCAGAAGGAGAAGGTGGACTTCAAGGAGCTGTTTGCCCCTGTAGTGAAGCCGACGACGCTGCGAACCCTATTCGCGGGAGCCGCCATCAAAGGATGGGTGGTGAAGCAAATGGACATTGTGACGGCATTCCTTAACGGCATCCTTGAGGAGGATATTTTTATGGCGCAGCCAGAGGGGCTTGATGATGGTAGTGGCAGAGTGTGGAAGCTGAAGAAGGCCCTCTATGGGCTGAAGCAGGCCCCTAGGCAATGGTATATGAAGCTGCGCGAAGTGTTGGAGGGGATCGGCTTCACTCCCTCAACGGTCGATCACTCCTTGTTCATGCTTGGCGAGGGGGAGCAGAGGAGCTTCATGGTGGTGTACGTGGACAACATCATGATCTTCTCACCCTCTCCTGACCTTGTGAAGGAGTTGATGCTGAAGCTGCAAGACAACTTCAAGTGCAAGTCCCTTGGTGACGTGAACTTCTACCTTGGGCTCCACATCGAACGAGACGTGGAGAAGCGGAGCATGCGAGTGCACCAACGGAAGTACCTGGAGGCGTTGGCTGCCAACTTCGGCCAGAGTGAAGGTCATGTGGCTACTCCCTTTCCCTCTGGGTTCAAGTGTGTGAAGGGGCCAGAGGAGGAGAGCGTTGGAGAAGAGGAGAGGCGCCGATTTCACTCGTTGGTGGGCAGCCTCATGTATGCGGCGGTAAACACCCGACCGGACGTCGCGTTTGCTACCGGGCAGCTGGCTAGGGTTGTGCAATGCCCTAATGAGGAGCAGATAGTAGCTGGAATGAGGGTGGCCAAGTATCTTGGCCAAACACCGACCGTTGGGCTGCAATACTCGGCGGCGGCACAAAGGCGCCAAAAGGGCGCGGATGGTGTTGAACCCGGGCGTTTGTTCCTCACCGCCTACTCAGATGCTTTATATGCATCAGAACCAGAGGACATGACAAGTGTGGGAGGCTTCATATGCTGTGTTGGTGGAGGCCCAACTGCTTGGGAGAGCAAGAAGCAGGTTGACCAAGCTTTGAGCTCGATGGAGTCCAAGTACATGGCACTCTTCCGTGCCGTACGGGAGATTGTGTGGCAGCGGCGTTTGTTGGCTGAATTGGGGGAGGAGCAGCAAGGACCTACCCCACTGTATTGTGACAGCCAGGGTTCCATTGCTCTTGCTAAGAACCCTGTGTTGCATGGACCCACGAAACACATGAGGGTGAAGTGGCATTGGACGAGGAGCATGGTAACCGCGGGTGAAGTTGAGTTGCGCTACGTCAAGACCACGGGGCAGCCGGCTGACATGATGACCAAGAGGCTGGTGGAGCAGCAGCATTGGAAGTATTGCAAGCTGGCTGGGATGGCTCTGAACTGAGAGAGCAACATATCCTAAGGCCAACATTCCGAGGGGGAGTTTGTTGGTGCAACCCTATGGTTTGCACTCGGCTTGTTGTCCGTGTGCATGCATGTGTGTGTGTATGGAATGGTATGAGGGCATGGGATAATATATATTTCATGCTTATGATTGTGTGTGAATGTTGAGTCATGATGTCGAGTGTGTGTGTTGAGTCAATAGCGAGTTATCGCTAGACGCGTGTTACGCGGTCGTTTGTGTCTCGCGCGGTTTCTGTTTTGTCGTGCGCGGTTTCTATTTTGTCCTGTGTCGAACGTTCGGTGTGTCGCAGGTGTGTGCAGCAGACCCATCAAGACCTCAAGGATGAGTTTGTGATGAAGAACCCGAGCCTTGGTGTCAAGCCTCAAGTGATTTCGAAGCTCGCCAAAAGGGTACACCTCAAGATATTGAAGATAGTTACATTACTTTGTGTAGTGTAACATTTCACTTGGTGTAGGCCCTAGTGAAGGGTAGTTTCGAGACCCTTCGTGGTTGGGGACAGTGTGGCACTGTTCCACATCACTGTACCTCGGCTCTTGGGGTTTGTAGGAGCTGGGAGTCATTCCCAACTCGTAACTCTTCCTAACTCTTCCTATCTTGTGTTCTAAGACTATAGTGGCTGCCATAGTGCCGTTCGTTCAAACCAACGCTGTGTCGTCAATACCTGGTAAAATCGTGCGATCTAAAATGCCTATTGTAGGCGACAATAAGACGCTCCAGATCCAAGTTGAATCAAGTCATTTGAAGCTGTGACTAGAACGATATGAATGTTTGCAGCCGCTGTGCAGAAATCCGACTGTGCACTCTATCTTTCGTTTTAGGCACATTGGAGCCTACTATGACTATAACAGTCGCCGCCCTAAGCCGCCCCGTCGCCGACCCTACCGGCCCCGTCGCCGCCCGACCGGCCCCGTCGCCGACCCTACCGGCCCCGTCGCCGCCCTACCGGCCCCGTCGCCGACCCTACCGGCCCCGTCGCCGCCCTACCGGCCCCGTAGCCGACCCTAGCGGCCCGGTCGCCGCCCTTTGCGGCCCCGTAACCACCTCTAGTGGCCCCGTCGCCGCTCTTCACGGCCCCTTTGCCGTCTCTACCGGCCCCTTCAACGCCGCCCAGCAGCAGAGCCACCGAGCCGCCGTGTCGCCCAGCAGCCGAGCCGCCCAGCAGCCGAGCCGCCCTGCCGCCGAGCCGCCACTGTTCCTTCCGGCGCGCCCCGGCCCTACTTCCTTGGACTGGTGAGCTCACTCCCTGATAGACCACTGCAGTCATGGCTACTCCCAGTGTCCTTACCTTTGATACTGAGGGTCGTGCTGTTGACTTTGGGGTCTGGGTCGATGACCTCCAGCTGTTCTTACAGTGCGATAGGGCAGATGGACTCTCACTGTTCGATCTCACCTCTGGTGTCTCTCCTGCCCCGCCTGCTACTGCTGACAGCACTGTTCGCTCACAGTGGGCCACGCGCAATGCTGCTGCACGTCTTGCTGTGCGTCGCCACTTATCGACCACTGAGCGTGCGCACTTTAGCTAGTACAAGAGTGCTAAGACCTTGTACGACGCTGTAGTTGCACGCTACTCTTCCCCTGCCACTGCTGCACTTAGCCGCCTCATGCTACCGTACCTGTTCCCTGACCTGTTCGCTGACCTCATTACGCACCTTCGCACTAGTGACACTCCCTACCGCGCTGCGCTTCCCGCTGAGTTCTGTGCCAAGAACCCCCCCCCCCCATGTACATCACCCTCTACTACATAGTCACCCGGCTCCCTGACTCCCTTCGCTTAGTCAGGGACCACTTCCTCTCAATTTGCCCCACCGCACTCACCGTTGACCTCCTCGAGGAGCGCCTCCTAGCAGCAGAGAAGAGCATAGTCGCTGTAGGACCCTCTCGTGGTGACCCTCGCACCCCCGTCTTTGAGGGGTGTTCTCCCTCCCCCCTCTTGCCCTCTGTTGCTTCTGCTGCTGCGGCCGACCTCGTTGGCTTCGAGTTGGTCGGCGCTGCGTCTGTCCCTAGCGGGAAGCGCCGCACCAGCAAGGGCAAGCGGGGCAAGGGCGCTGGGGGGGCCAGTAGGGGCGGTGGAAGTGGTGGTGGAGGCAGTGGAGGGGGTGGGAGTGGTGGTGGGAGTGGTGGCGGGGGTGGAGGTGTCGCTTGCAGCAGTGGAGGCGAAGGAGGCGGCGGTGGTGGCGGAGGGAGCGGAGGCGGCAGTGGTGGCGGAGGCGGCGGAGGTGGCGGAGGCGGCGGAGGTGGCGGTGGAGCTAGTCGCGGCTCTGCGCAGAGGAGTGGCTCCGGTGGTGGTCCGCGCCAGCAGCAGCAGCGCGGTCGTGAGACCCTGTCCCCTCAGCAGCTTCGTGAGTAGTACGCTGGGCGTCAGCGGGGTGGAGGTACTGGTCCCTGCACCTACGTCCTCCTTACAGGCGACCGCGCTGGTGAGCAGTGCGGGGGCACGCACTCCACCCAGCTATCTTTGATCTTGACTATGATGCTATTCTTGCTGCCATGTATGCTGTGTCTACTAGTGATGAGGGTGACTGTTACCTGTGTGTTCCGCCTGACCCGAGCATTGAGGCTGCTGCTCTAGGTGCTGGTGAGGATACTGCTTTAGGTGCTATTGCGTCCGCTGCCCTGGGTGCTGGTGAGTCTGCTCTCTCAGGTACCACGTCGGCTCAGGCCTTGCACACCTTCACCCTTGACTCGGGCGCTTCCCGCTCTTTCTTTCGAGACCGCACCACACTTGCGCCGCTTAGTCGGCCGGTTGCGGTCTCCCTGGCGGACCCCTCTGGAGGTCCTGTCCTTGCTAGCTTCTCCACTGTCTTACCGTGTCCGGCAGCCCCCTCTGGCACCCTATCAGGTCTCAACCTCCCCTTATTCTCTACGAACTTGGTGAGTGGAGCTGATCTACAGGATCGGGGGGTTGACCAGTTCACACTTGCGAGTCAGCGGGTAACCCACTGTACGTGTGCTCGGACGGGCCGACACTTGGCCACGTTTACCCATCAGCCGGGGTCGAGCCTGTACACACTGACCACTGAGTCTCCTCCTGTTACTGCGTCTGGTCAGGTAGCTGCGTCAAGTCAGGTGTTTGCTGCAGCGTCCAGGTCTGGTCCTGAGTCTGCGACCTGCTCGTGTCGTCTCCTGTCCCACCAGACTCTCCTTTGGCACCACCGCCTTGGTCACCCCTCCCTGCCTCGTCTCCGAGGCATGGCCTCCCGTGTCCTAGTCTCTGGTCTCCCCCAGTCCCTCCCTCCCCTACCTCCGGGGCCGGCCCCTACCTCCGTCCCCTGCATTGAGGGGCGGCAGCGCGCCGCTCCTCACTCCTCCGAGTCTCCTCCGACAGAGGCTCCCCTGCAGACTCTTCACATGGACGTGTGGGGCCCCGCCCGCGTCCGTGGCCAGGGTCACGAGCGTTACTTCCTGTTGGTGGTTGACGACTACTCGCGTTACACCACGGTGTTCCCCTTGCGCAGCAAGGGTGACGTCACTGAGGTGTTGATCGACTGGATCCGCGCAGCTCGTCTCCAGCTCAGAGAGATTTTCGGCTCGGACTTTCCTGTTCTGCGTCTGCACTCTGACAGAGACGGGGAGTTTTCCTCTGCCCGTCTGGGAGCCTTCTGTCGTGCACAAGGCATCCGCCAGACCTTCACGCTTCCGGCCTCTCCACAGCAAAATGGGATTGCTGAGCGCCGCATTGGCATGGTCATGGACGTCGCTCGTACGTCCATGATCCATGCGGCTGCTCCCCATTTTCCGTGGCCGTTTGCGGTTCAGTACGCGGCACATCAGCTCAACCTTCAGCCCCGGGTCTCCTGGCCAGAGACCTCCCCCACCCTACGGTGGACGGGGAAGGTTGGCAATGCGTCTGCGTTTCGGGTCTGGGGATCTCGGGCGTTTGTCCGCGACTTGTCTGCGTACAAGCTGTACCCCCGTGCTGTTCCCTGCGTCCTCCTTGGCTTCCCCCCTGACGCGTCTGGTTGGCAGTTCTACCACCCCACCTCGCGCCGTGTTCCGTCCTCCCAGGACGTCACCTTTGATGAGTCGGTGCCTTACTACCGTCTCTTCCCCTACCGCACTGCGCCCCTCCCCCCGCCGCCGCTCTTCCTTGCGCCAAGTCCTCTCCCGGTTGAACCCCTCCCCTCTCAGGGTCCTGCCCCGTCAGGTGTATCCCAGGTAGACGCAGTCGAGCCTGTCGAGGTTGCTGTTGACTCTGGTGCTGCTAGAGGCGTTGTGCCTGCGGGTGCCATGTCTGGGGGTTCGGAGCCTGGGGGTGCTGAGTCTCAGGGTGCTGAGTCTGGGGGTGCGGAGCCTGGGGGTGCTGAGCTTGGGGGTGTGGAGCCAAGGGGTGCAGAGCCTGGGGGTGCTGAGCCTGGGGGTGCGGAGCCTGGGGTCGCTGGGTCTACTCGTGTGGCCTCTGGCGGTGCTTCGTCGAGGCGGGAGCTACTCTCTCCGCAGGAGCTGCGAGAGTGGTTTGCCCGGCGCTGGAGCCGTGCTGCTGGAGCTGGAGGTACTAGTGTTGCTGCTGATCCTGGAGGTGCTCGTCCTGGCGGTTTTGGAGCTGCTAGGACTGGGAGTCCTGCAGGAGGTGCTACTGGAGCTACTGGAGCTGGAGCTACGGGGGGTGTTGGCGCTGGTGGTTCTGCTGGCGCTGGTGCTTCTGAGGGTGCTGGAGGTGGCGGTGGAGTTAGAGGTGCTGCTGGCGCTGGTGCTGCCGCTAGGGGTACTGGTGCTGTCCCTGCTGGTTTTGGAGGTGCTGCGCGGCCGAGGCCGTACTTCGTTCCGCTCCTTGAGCAGGTTCTTGGTCTCCCGCCCTCTACTAGTCCTGCTCCTCCCTTAGCGTGTCCACAGCCTGTCCAATCGCGGTCACAGTTACAGCCCACCTCCCCCCTGCCTGCTCCTTCTCCCTACACTAGTCCTACTGGAGGTCTTGCTGAGCGTCGTGAGCCTGCGTCTCGTCCTGCGTTGCCTGTTCGTGCTGCTCGCGCTAGTGGTCGTGCTCCACGTCCGCGTCCTCCTGCGGTCCCAGGCACACACCTGATGGCACTGCGTCCTTCCACTGCTCCTCTGCGTGTCCCGTTGTCGTCTCCTCCAGAGTCCTCTCTTCCTACTCTTGCTGACCCTGAGTCTGACTTTCTTCGTGCTGCTAGTCCTACTGTCACGCGTCTCGTGGCTACTGTTGTCGCTGAACCTTCTTTTGAGTCCACTGCTTCGTCTGCCTTAGTTGTTGAGCTTGTCGACTTTGCTGCTCGCTATCGACTAGACTACGCTGCTAGTCTTGTTGCTGAGTCTGAGTCTGTCTGTCCTCCGTCCGTCGGGGGTGAGTTTGCTTTTAGCACGGACTTCCTTGAGGACAGGCAGAAGGAGTTCCAGTGTTTTGCTGCTACATTGCCTCATCTGGTGTCCGCGCTGATTGCCCCTGAGGGAGACCCGGATACACCAGACATCCCGACTCCTCGATCGTACGCTGAGGCGATCGAGGGTCCCTACTGCTCACAGTGGCAGTCAGCCATGGACGCAGAGATGGCTTCCTGGAAGTCCACAGGCACCTACGTCGACGAGGTTCCCCCATCTAGGGCGAACATCGTCAGTGGCATGTGGATCTTTAGGGTGAAGCGGCCGCCGGGTTCTCCGCCTGTCTTCAAGGCGCGTTACGTGGCTAGAAGCTTCAGTCAGCGGCAGGGAGTTGACTAATTTCAGACCTTTTCCCCTACCCCGAAGATGACCACTCTTTGGCGGCTGCTGCACATAGTCGCTCAGCGTGACTACGAGCTTCACTCTCTTAACTTCAGCACAACTTTCTTGCAAGGCAGCCTGCACGAGGAGATCTGGCTGCGCCGCCCACCTGGCTTCACTGGGTCGTTCCCTCCTTGTACCCAGTGGAGCCTCCGGCGGCCAGTCTACGGTCTCTGCCAGGCGCCCCGTGAGTGGCACGACACACTGAGGACTACACTTGCGGCTCTTGGGTTTGCTCCTTCTACTGCCGTCCCGTCGCTGTTTCTGCGCACCGACACCTCTTTGCCGCCGTTTGACATCCTCGTGTACGTCGACGACTTGGTCTTTGCCACTACTGACATTGCTGGACTAGCCAGGTGAAGTCCGAGCTACAAAAGAGACACACGTGCATAGACCTGGGTGAACTCCGCAGCTACCTTGGCTTGCAAATCACCCGGGACAGAGCACTGCGCACCATTACCCTGAATCAGTCTCACATGGTGCAGCAGGTCCTTCAGCGCTTCAACTTCATGTAGTCCTCGCCTCAGGCCACTCCTGCTACTCGCTCTCAGCTCTGCCTTTGGATGAGTCCATCGAGTCGAGTGGCCTGTACCCAGAGCTTGTTGGCTGCCTCATGTACCTGATGACCTGTACACGACCTGACCTAGCATACCCTCTTACCATCTTGGCACGCTATGTGGCTCCTGGGAGACACCAACCTGAGCACATGGCTGCAGCTAAGAGGGTGTTGCGCTACTTGTGCAGTACGTCGGGCATGGGGCTAGTGCTTGGAGGGCGACGTCCAGTGGTCCTCACAGGTCACGAAGACGCTTCTTGGGCTGATGACCAGGCTACGCAGCGGTCGTCGCAGGGTTGCACCTTCAGCCTTGGTTCCGGCTCTGTCTCGTGGTGGTCTACCTGCTCGTCTTCTGTTCTTGGCTCCAGCTGTGAGGCCGAGATCTACGCAGGGGCCATGGCTGCACATGAGCTACGCTGGCTCACCTACCTGCTGACTAACCTAGGAGAGCCGCCTCGTTCTCCTCCAGTTCTGTACGTAGACAACAAGGCCATGCTGGCCTTGTGTCGGGAGCACAGACTGGAGAACAGAACGAAGCACATTGCTCTTCGCTACTTCATTGCTCGTGAGCTGCAGCAGCGCGGTCAGCTGCGCCTTGCTTACGTGGCCTCTAAGGCCAACACTTCTGATATCTTTACAAAGGCACTTCCGCCTTGTGATCATCAGCGCTTTTGTACTTTGCTAGGTCTTGTGCCTACTTGGCCTCACTTGCTCACCTCTTGATTTTGCTTGTACTGTGATCTATATATACCTGCACTTGCATGCTTACCCTTGCTAGGTTGAGATCATTGCCTTGCTTGTTTATCTTGATGTATAACTCTACATGTGAACTGGCCTTGTGGCCTTGTGCTTGTGCTCAGATTGTGTGGTGACGTTGTGATCCACCCTGGGCTTGCCTTGCTTCTCTTGACTGGTCTTGTGACCCCTTGTTCTCCCCCACTTTGCCTATGGGGGTGTGTCAAACTTATATGCTATAGGTTGTTTAGGCTGTAGTGGGGTAGTCCATATGGGGTACAACATTTTAGGGTTTCCTACTTGTACTCCTCATGCTGCTCAATGCAATCATTCATTCCTCAAATTTTCACAGCGTGCGCCCTGCTTTGCCTGCGCTGCGCTGCCTGCGCGCACCCTGCCTTGCCTGCGCTGCGCTGCCCTAGTCCCGTGCGCACCGCCTGCTGCTGCCTCGCGCGCCGCCCAGGCTACCCGCACGCAGCCCGCTGCTGCCCCGCGCATCGCCTCCGCCGCTCGCGCAGCCCGCGGCTGCCCCGCGCGCCGCCTCTGCCGCCCTCGCACGGCCCGCTGCTGCCCCGCGAGCTGCCTTTGCCGCGTGCGCAGCCCGCGGCTGCCCCGCGCGCCACCTCCGCCGCATGCGCAGCCCGCGGTTGCCTCACGTGCAGCCTCTGCTACCCCTGCGCGGCCTGTTTCTGCCTACCTGCGCGCCGCTTTCTGCAGCCTGTGCACCGCATTCTGCCTATCCGTGCGCCACTTTTTGCCTACCCGCACGTCGCTTTCTGCAACCCTTGCACCGCACTCTGCCTGCCCGTGCGCCGCTTTCTGCCTACCCGTGCGCCACTTTTTGCCTACCCGCACGTCGCTTTCTGCAACCCGTGCACCGCGCTCTGCCTACACGTGCGCCGCTTTCTGCCTACCAGCGCGTCGCTTTCTGTAGCTCGTGCACCGCACTCATGGCAACTCTCAATGTCCTCGCTTTCGATCTTGACGGTCGCCCAATAGAGTTTGCCACTTGGCTCGACGACCTGCAACTATTTCTTTTGATTGATGCCAAAGACGGAGTTTCACTGTTCGATTACATGACTGGCACTGCCGTTGCTCCTGCTGATACTGCTGCCGCTCTTGACCGCTCACAGTGGCAGACTCGTGATGTTGTTGCGCGCCTCGCTATTCGCAACCATCTGCCAATCACTGAGCGTGCGCACTTTAGTCAACACAAGACTGCTAAGGCATTGTATGAGGCTGTAGTTGCCCGCCACTCTTCCCCAGCCACTGCAGCCGTAGGCCGTCTCATGCTACCCTACCTGTTCCCCGACCTGTCCTTGTTTACCACCGCTGAGGACCTCATCTCTCATCTCCGCGCTAGTGACGCTCGCTTTCGTGCCGCCCTTTCAGACGAGTTCCTCATCGAGAATCATCCCCCGATGTATTTACTCTCTACTTCCTCATCACCCACCTCCCTGACACTCTTCGCTCAGTCAGGGACCACTTTCTCACCCTAGACCCGACCACTATCACTGTCGCCGACTTCGAGACGCAACTCCTAGCAGCTGAAAAAACCTTCTCGCACTCCGCTCTTTGAGGGGTGCTCCCTCTTGGCCCCTCCTACGCCTCTGCCGCAGCTGCTCTCGACTACCTTGGTGCTCAGGAGGTCGGGGCTGCTTCCGCTCCTAGTGGGAAGCGCCGCAGCACCAGGGGCAGCAGGGGTGGCAGGGGAGGTGGAGGTGGTGGTGGAGGGGGCGGTGGTGGAGGCAGCGGGGGTGGTGGAGGTGGTGGGGGTGGTCGTGGGGGTGGAGGTGGTGGCGGGGGCGGCGGGGGTGCCGGGGGCAGTGGAGGTGGTAACGGCGGGAGTGGGGGAGGCGGGAGCGGTGGTGGCAGCGGTGGTGGGAGCTGGAGTGGAGCCGGCCAGAAGGGGAGCTCTAGTGGTGGCCAGGGACAGCAGCAGCAGCAACGTCAGCATCAGACCCCCATGCATCAGCAGCTTCATGACTGGTATAGCTACTTGTGTGTCCCGCCTGACCCAGGTATAGCCCCAAGTGTAGAGCCTGCAGCCCTTGGTGCTTGTGAGTCTGTTCTCCCTGGTACTGCGTCGGCTCAGGCCTTGCACACCTTTACACTTGACTCTGGTGTTTCTTTCACGACAGTACCACAGTTACTCCCCTCTCTGCACCTGTCCCTGTCTCACTGGCTGACCCCTCTGGGGGCCCAGTCTTGCGCGGTCCACTACTGTGCTTCCGTGCCCGGCGGTGCCGTCTGGTGAGCTGTCTGGTCTCCACCTCCCCTCGTTCTCTACAAACCTGGTGAGCAACGCCGTCCTTTAGGATCATTGGGTTGACACCTTTACTCTTGGAGGACAGCGTGTGGCAATCTGCACGTGCTCTTGGACTGGCCGCCACCTGGCCATGTTCACACGTGCGCCAGGGTCCAGTCTGTACACCCTCACCAATGCGTCGCACTCCACCCCTTCGCGGCCCCGTCGCCGCTCCCCTCCACACGCGGCCCCGTCGCCACCCCTTCGCAGCCCCGTCGCCGCCCCTAGCGGCCCCGTCGCCGCCCCGTCGCGGCCCCGTCGCCGCCCCTAGCGGCACCGTCACGCACGGTGGAAACTTGAGAAATCGTTTGGAGAGAATTCTGCCATAAATTTTGACTTTACAAAAATCGTCGTCCCGGACTCGATTATTCGAATTAGAACGCGGTTTGACCACCAATCGAAATTTCGTGAGTAGAGCTACTAGAAAATGATCTCAGTGGACAACATTGGTTGAGAATTTACGACGATCCGTCGTCTCAAAGTAGACTACCCGCTCTGATACCACTTGATGTTCAGGATCCATCACTTTGAGAGCTTACGACGAACTCATTACTCAACTAAACTCAAATCCGCTCAGTAGAAAGTTGTGCCTTAGGCTTAGCTACCATCTTTAAGTTGAATCAGTCGTAAAGATGGTCTATAGAGTGAGAACTAAGTAAAAACGTCCAGCAGCCGCATGACTACAATGGTAGAGGAAGTACAAGCATTAAGGCATAGAAAGTTGGAGTTGGGAACCTCCAAGAGAACCATGAGACGGAAGGGGTTCTCCAAGAGCTAGGGAAGGATGGTAGGAACCTTCCTAGCAGCAAGGATGCAACCCTCATCATGAGGTCTTTAAGGTGTCACATGCAAAATCCAATCTAGTTGGATTTTGCCTAGGTGTTGCAACATTTGCAACCCATGCTAGAAATTCTAGCCACCCCAATCCAAAAGTCAAAGTTGCCTTCCCTAACCACCCAACCAAAGATCCCTTTATATTCATGTCCCAAGTAATCACCCAAATTAGATATAACCCCAAAATGTAATAAGAAATCCAAGTCTTGGAAATCTTGTAACTTGGGCGATCTTGGTCGGAATAAGGCGATCTTGGTATCGATGGAAAGCTCTGCATTTCTCCTCCATGATCAAGCATTTAGACTTGGAGAAAAACACAGAGTTGATAATATCCAACAGCCCTGCGTAATGACATACGCTCATGCAAATCATGCAAGCACAAATATCACGAGCAGTCGGCAGGACGTTAGGATGACATGCACTCAGAATGACGTGCATCCAACAGCTTATGGGGTGTTGAGCTTGGGGTTGCGGAGCCTGGGGGTGCTGAGCCTGGGGGTGTGGAGCCTGGGTGTGTTGAGCCTGGGGGTGCAGAGCTTGGGGGTGCTGAGCCTGAGGGTGCGGAGCTTGGGGGTGCTGAGCCTGAGGGTGCGGAGCCTGGAGGTGCTGAGCCTGGGCGTGAGGAGTCTGGGGGTGCTGAGCCTGCGGGTACTAAGTCTGGGGGTGTTGCGCCTGGGGGCACTGCGGCGCCTGGTGAGCAGTCTCCTTGGAGCGGCCGCCTCCGTAGTCGCTCTGCTAGTGCCTCGCCACAGCGCTCTCGTAGTCGTGTCCCGCTCTCCCCACAGCAACTGCGCGAGTGATACATTAGTCGTCAGGGTCACACTGTTGGAGTTGGGGGCCCTGCTACGGGAGGTGCTGGCGTTGGAGGCCCTGGAGTTGGCGCTGTCCCGCTCTCCCCACAGCAGCTGCATGAGTGGTACGTGAGCCGTCAGGGTTGCGCTGCTGGAGCTGGGGGTGCTGCTGCGGGAGGCGCTGGTGCTGCTGACTCTGCTACTGGAGGTGTTTCTACTGGAGTTCCTGGAGCCGCTGGTCTCGGAGGTGCTCATACTGGAGGTACTGGAGCTGCTGGGGCTGGTGGTACTACTGGACCTGGAGGTGCTACTGTAGACTCTGAGGTTAAAGACCCTGGAGCTGGAGGTGCGGGTTCTGGGGGTGCTTCTGTTGGAGACACTGAGACTGGAGACCCTGGGACTGGAGGTGCCGGTTCTAGGGGTGCTGCTGCTAGAAGTGCTGGTCCTGGAGGTGCTGTTGCTGGAGGTTTTGGAGCTGCTGGAGGTGCTGGTCCTGGAGGTGCTGGCGCTGGAGGTTCTGGAGTTGGTGGAGGTGCTGGTAGTGGAGGCGCTGGAGCTGGAGGTTCTGGAACTGCTGGAGGTGCTGGAGCTACTGGTGCTGGTGGCCCTGCGCAGCCGCGACTGTTCTTCGCTCCGCCGTCGCCTTCGTCCCTGCCACCGCCTGACTCCGTGCTTCGCCAGGTTCTTAGCCTCCTGTCTTCTACTGGTCTTTCGTTACAGCCTGGCTCACCGTTGCCTGCTCCTTCTCCTTACACTGAGCAGACAGAGGGTCTTACTGAGCGACGTGAGCCTGCGTCTCGTCCTGTCTCACCTGTTCGCACTGATCGCACTGGTCGTCCTGGTCGTCGTGTTCCTCGTGAGCATCCGCCGGCTGTCCCCGGCACACACCTCATGGCTTTGCGTCCTTTCTCTGCTGCGCAGCGTGTTCCGCTGCCGTCCCCTCCTGCGTCCTCTCTGCCTAACGTGCCAGACCCTGAGTCTGCCAGCGCTCGTGCTACTCACCCTACTATCACGCGTCTGCTAGCCACTGTTGTCACTGACCCGTCGTTTGAGTCTGCTGCTGCGTCTGCCTTAGTTGCTGAGCTTGTTGACTTTGCTACTGCTTGTCGTCTAGACTACGCCACTATTCTTGTAGCTGAGTCTGAGTCTGCCTGTCCTTCGTCCGTCGGGGTGAGTGTGCTCTTGGCACGGACGTCCTTGAGGACAGGCAGGAGGAGTTTGAGTGCCTTGCAGCCTTTGCGCCTCATCTTGTGGACATGCTGCTTGCCCCTGAGGGAGACTCGGATGCTCCAGACCCGGATGCTAAAAAATCCTTATACATCCTCACCTTTCCGTTTCGTCTGGCGTTTGCGCTTCTGCTTCGACGTAGTGTTAGGAGCACCGCCATGCATAGTAGCAACGGAACCCTTTTTGCGCCTAGGGAAGGAGCGGTCGTCGTCACCGTTGTCGTCGTCGGCCTCGCTTTCACCACTGACGTTTTCGTCCGCATCGTCTGCTGCTTCTAGCGCCGGCGAAAGTGTGACAGGCAAGTTACCGTCAGCAGATCCAGCGTCTAGTATTGGGTCTACCTCGGGCTCTAATGGCAAATCGCGACCTACGTTAGCCTTGTCAGCACCGTGCTCGTCCGACGACAGCTGGTCGTCGACGAGATCTGGTGCGACCAAGTTGGCAGAGTCAGAAGTGGAGGAGCTCTTGCGGGTGAACTCAGCACTGACTTGAGAGAGCAAAATTTGAAGTTGTTCAGGCGACATCCCATGCAGATTTAAGGTCGAGTTGTCAGGCTGGTTATCGGCTGAACCTTCATTCGCAGCCGTAACAGAATGTCTTCGCCCAGGTAACGTAACACCAAGTGCGCCATTATTGTACCTTGCAGGCACCACAACGGGTCTTTGAGGGCGGCCTGGAGGAGGATCATTTCCAGGAAGGGTAATAGGGCGTTGGTTCACCATCTCGGCAGAAACAAAAACTGGGATTTGAGCTGAATAGTCGCACAAACCATGTTTCTACAATCGTTTGCAGCTGAGAAAAATTGGCGGGGAGCTCCTGATTGGTCGTCGAAAGTGGTTGGAAGTCGCTGGGGCGATTGGTCGAGCTCTGTACCAAGCGACATTGTTGCTGTTGCAGTGCGACATGAGCAATATCGCACACCCTCACCGTGGGCTCACGACGAATCGCGATACCGCACTGCAGTCAGTTTCCGTGGAGGTGACCACGGTACATCCTCCACGTGGACCTAGACAAAGGTATTCCAGCAAACGTGGCGACTCCAACTCAAAAGCAGGGGAAACACGGTGACTGTATTAGCTGGAAACATGAGTTTTAGGGAAACGAATTCAAACGCACGTCACTCCCTTCTCCCACAAAGTAGGTACACGATTGTGGTGCCTGCTTTTTCAAAATCTGTACAACAATCAGTACTCAATATATACAAATATACACAAAAAAAGCCATCAAAACAGAAAATGGTTGAGGAATCATGTCTGGCCTGCAGACTCAAGCTGCACAAAATGAACAGCTCTAAGAATGGAAGCTGTCTCTACAACCATGTACCTTTGAGAAACCCCCTCTAAACTGAATTGCCGGCAGCCGGTCAATTCATCTAACGCGTCATGCTCGATATAATACCTCACGAATGCGAATTCGCGTCGATCTAGACCATGGCCGACATGGAATAGTAGCAGAACCTTGCCGTACCACTCCGATCCTGTACCTTGGATAGCAACATCACTGAACCAAACTTTCTTGTGGAATAGCGGAACCGCTCGGATACGGTGTGGGGTGCTAGAAAAAGCCTCGTCCGTCGCGGGTGGCATGGCCAACTCAACATGAACCTGTACAGCAGTTGTGTGCCACATATTGCATCATTAGTAAAGGCATAACGTAATTGTTGCCGGGCGTGCAACAAACAAATGCGTGCTAAGGATAACGTACGTAAATTGTGTCGAAGTTCGGGCCGTTGGGTACGTCGCGATCGATGGAACGACGAAGATATGGGAGGTCGTTATGTAGGCTGTCTAGATACAATTGGTCTCGCTTTGGGTCAGGCTTGGAGAATCCGACGTATGGGTGCTCGTGACGACGCGCGTAAACGATC